TGGTGGCGGCTTTGTTGGTGGTAGGATTGTGGTGTGGTGGTGATGAATCTGATGTTGAAGGAGGCGATGGTTGGCTGGGACACAGTGTTGTGTGCAGTCAAGGTGTTGGATCATGATCGGAGGTGAAAGTGGAGTGTTGGTTAATTTGTTGCCAACTATTTTATTATTTATGACCTAAAAATTATATAATCTGTGACCAACTAATTTCGAAATATGTGGCTGTGTGACCTATAAATTTTGAAATCTGTGACCGACGAATTAATTGTGACCTACAAATTTTTTTATATGTGACAATTAAAAAATCCGTGACCAACTAATAGGGAAATATGTGACCTGCAAATAAACTGTGATCGAAAATTAATTTTTAACTAATTAATTAGATATCCGTGACCAAATTGCATATAATTGTGACCTTAACAATTGTCGAAATCGGAGTAGTCGCCGGAATTAAGTGGCGACAGAATAGTCACCGAAATAATCGTTGGAATTAAGCACGATCGGGGAACAGTTGCCGGAATAGTCGTCTGAGCAGTGGGGGTGGAGGTGAAATGGGTTAATTATATTATATTACAATTAAATAATTAATTAATTAATAAATATCTGATTTTTGCAAGTTTAAAATTTAACACCTGATTTTTGCAATTATCAAAGTTAATACCTAATTTGTGAACTCATCCCTTAAATCAAATCCTTGTTTTAATTATAGAAGATATTGTATCTACTTATTAATATGTGTCATTTTTTATTTTTATTTTTTTGTGCTTGATTCAATTAATTTTTTAGCCAATAATTAATTAATTTGTGAACGATAACAGGTCGAGTGGTGAGTTTTTTATTTAGACGAAATATTAGAAACCAATAATTTAGTTAGGAGATAGAGAATAAATTTTGGAATTGTTGGCGATCATTACATGGACTTTTTGGTGGATTAATGAACTTAGTTAGGTTAAAATTTACATAAATGATAAATATATAGTGAATTTACTCGGATGTTTCAATTATTTTACAAAAGTTAATTTGAATACATCGCATGAATATTTGTCACTATAATGTATGATAAATCATGGGGGAGGATTAAGGTGAAGCCGTGAGTCCTACCATTTGTTTCTATCATTTAATCTCAAAAATCAACGAACAAACTAGCAGACTTTTTACAGCTTAATTCCAGTGTGGTGAATAGAATGGATAACAATCATTCCCCGCTACTTTTTCGCATTGATTCAAATAAATTGTATGATTAAATTATGTTAATAATAAATAACAACGTTTTGTTAAAATGATAATCCAATTTCTTTAGATCCACTTTACTATTAGTTTGGTAACATCAAATATTTGGATTTGAGGAAATTACACGCATGCTTGTTTTTAAAGACGACAATTCAAAAATAAGATGTAAAGNTTCACTCACAAACCTAATTCATTTCCCAACCTTATTCCCTCTCTCTACCACAAACTTCGACACCACTGCTGCTGCAAGAGGATCGATGCTTCTCTCTTGCAATGACATCGACTGTGTTAGTGTGGACCTCTGCCCGTAGGTACCTCTGCTCGGGAACAATACAGCCGTGAGGACCTCTGCCCCCAAGTGTGTCGCACAACCTCTGCCTAGTCCATTGGATCTCGTTTTGGATCACGTTTTAGATTGGATCCCGTGTGCAGTCGATTGGATCTCGTTTTGGATTTATGCGATGATGTCGATGTCCCCTGCTACTATAGTTGATACAATATGATTTTGGATCAGGTTGTGCAATGATTTTGTTGACGGAGTTTGTAGTTGGTGATGGTGATGGGTGATGAGGCGGTGATGTAGATGTGGTGGTGATGTTGGTTGTGTTCTGGTTTTGGATCTAATTTTGGGCTATGGTTCGAGATATGGGTGAGGAAATGGAGGAGGCAGAGGTGGTGTGATATTGGTGGTGGTGTGGCGGTAATTAATAAATTTGGATCTGATTTTTTGGTTGTGTTTGGGTGGCTAATAGTGGTGGGTTGTTAGGGCTATGTCTATATTTATGTTGCTGGGTCGTGGCGGTGGTACGGTGATTGGCGATTGGGTATGGTGCTGCGGTGGTGGTGTTGCAAAAATGGTGGTGGCGGCGGCGATAGCATGGGTGGTTGTGATGATTTTTGGTGGGAGTGTATTAGATCTAGTAGTGGTGGTGTTGTGGTAGTGGCTGCGGCGTGATCGTGT